TATTTTAAACAGTGGTATTATCATTTTTATGCACCAATTATTCAACAATCAGGGGCATACATATTTTCCTCTGACGGCATGTCCGTCTTTCTGTTTGTTTGTCAGATGATCTGTTTAATCGATAACATACTCTTCATGCTCATTTCTTTTGACAAGACTTTCTTGAATACCAACAGTTTTAACCTTAAAGTTATTAATTTGACCTACTTTTAAAAACGCAAAAAAACTTTAACGTTGGCCGTAGCCGCTGAGTGGTTAGTGCTGATTTATTTCTTATGGTAAGAGCTTCACTTGAATACTAACGTTTTTTTACTCTTACTTAGACAGCAGACTTCGATCTTCTTTAAAAAAAAAAAAAAAAAAAAAAAAAATTGATCATGACTTTTGAATGGTCGATTCTGTGACTTCCAAGTTGTTGTCTTGTTTTTTTTTTTTTTTCTCGAATTTTATAAGCCATTGTTTACACATCGCATAAAACAGGATGAATTGTCCTAACACGCATATCGATTTTTAGTTTGTTCATTAATCAAACATTGGAATTTGTTTAAGATGTAGTACCATAATTGCAAAGTTAATTGAAAACATATTGATTGATGTTAGTTCGCTAAGTTTTATTTGCAAAGACATTTGCAGAAATAAGATAACATCTTTAAAATATAATGATCAGTGCTTATTTCTTTTTTTGTTTTTTTTAAAACTCATTCTCTTGTTTTGCAAATTTGATTTCTTTGAATGTACTTGAATATTTCTAACTAAAATAGCAATAATTTTAAATGATTTTTACATTAGATTTTTAGCATGTGACATTGCTCTTGCACGGCATTTAAGGTTTGTGATGTCGAAATAAAACGCATATTACACATGTAACATTTTTACCCCAATCTGTGTTATGGTGTTTTAAAATAAAGAAAATAAAATTTACAGTATCGATATTAATCTACTATGAGGTATCTTGTGCATCCAAGAGTAGAAAAATCTAAATTTTATTCTTTTTCAAATGATAATCCGAAGCAATAAAAGATATTGATCTTCGTAAAATGTAACGTTCTTTTTTTTAATTTAAGCTCAAAATCTATTGAAAATCTAGTATCATTGCCTTGCCACTCTGAAAATTCAAGTTATCTAAAAATCTATTACATTTATGGTCAAATTAGATTAGTGGGAAAAAATAATGAGAAAGTATCACTTCAACGATTTAGCTTATTTTCACAATGACAATAATTTCGATTAAAGAGATTTTGAGTAGATTAATAGAAAATAATTCAATTTTGTTTGTATTCTCGCCTATAATTGGTTGATTTCCAAAAAGGGGACGCAATCATCTTATCCATGCAATTCCCTCATTTTCAGTCCTCTAAATCAATGGAAAGGACAAGATAGGGTAAGACCAGTATTTCGCCCCCGGTTTTGGGGGTGTTTCAGAATGATCCAACAGTTTATCCATGAAAACCTGTTTTCACCCCTGCCTCAAAATGAGTGCTGGTTTTAAGATTTTGGATATACAGAGGTCACAGTGAGGTCAGGGAATAGGTCAATTTTCGAAATTTCTCATTTTTATGCAAATTTTCACTAATTTTACAGCACATTTTCTTTCTGAAAACATAGAGCACACGCTTGCCTATCTACCAAATTTATATATTTTATACACTGATATCAGATGCAGTATATGTGTAAAAAATCTCTGATAGGCAAGCGTGTGCTCTATGTTTTCCGAAGAGAAATGTACCCCAAATATGACGAAAATCCACCAGAATTGAGGAAATTCGGGAAAATGTCCTATTTCTGAACCCTCTGGTGGCTTCCATGTAGCCTTTGAATCAAAATTGGTGCTTGTCTTAAAGTAAGCATCATTTTAACTTCTTAACTACAAACTATCACAGTTTTACCAGTGTTCTGATTTTTATTTCAAAAACTCGGCTGTTACCCTACCTTGTCCTTTCAGATTTAATAAATGTACCTTTAAAAGTGCATGGACAATGGAAAGAGATTTAATGTTAATATTTTTTTTAAATAGTATTACGACATGTATATTTTTATAGTATTTTACACAAAAAATAAATTAAAAATCTTATTTTAATCAAAAGTTATTAAAAATTGAATTTTTTGGCGGGTTTGATTGACACATCCTTGTACTTTCACAAATTTAAGTCTTATTCTCTATATTCAGGGAAATTGACAATCTTGTTCTGTTTAAATGAAAAAAAAATATTAAAACTATAATCCAGATTATACATGATAATATGACCAAGAATTAGATTCATTCCTTAAATAAATGCGCATCCATTCAAAATACTACATGGATGATAAGTATGATTTTAGATGTATTATTATTCAAAACATGACCCTCAAATATACTTATGTTTTTTTTAAACACTTTAACATCTTTATTACAATGAAACCTTTCTTATCCAACATGCAGGGGGAAGAGAGATTACAGATGTATGTGTCGGATTAAACAAGGTGTAGTATTGCGGCGTGTAAAGATCATTGACATAAGTATAAATGATAAATAAAATTGAATAGCGGACACCACAGTAAAACGTATTGCACATGTGTCGGATTAAACAGGTTCCAATGTAATAGGTTTAACAATAAAGTCATCTTCATCCTAATCATCTATCCAGACATCTTCATTTATCCTTGTGTGTAAATAATTCTAATTTAATTGACGTCTCCATATCAGTGAAATATTCTGGGGAGGGACGTAAACACTGAAAACATAAATTTGTCACGTTGACCAGGTTTGAAGTCATTTTCTTCCGTTCAGTTAGTCAATACATAATTTGACTATCTGTTTCCTCAAAATTACCAGTCTTTGGTAAACTTTGACTTGTATCCTGGTCATTTTGTTTATATTGTTTGGCGGGAAGAAACAATAGCGTCGGTCGCCATTTTCCTCCCAGGAAAACACGAAGTGATGGTATGTCATGATTTGTTGTTTTCTTGTTTTAGACAAATAATTCTATAATAAACTTATTCAAAAAATGTTCTACTGAGAAATAATATTAAGATTAACAAAGTACTCTATATTTTTCTTCAATAATTATTGTATTTTACAGTATTATCATAATGATAAATGTAGGCTAGGATGTGGGTTGTTGTGTTCAAGTAGATTTTTGCATATTCAATTTATGCAAACAGTTCAAATTGGACTTGGTCTAAAATTCAACGATTATTAAATACGTAGTATTCCTTTATAACTCACAGGTATTGCATGGACTCTCAACTACCACTGAATGGACAAATAAATCAAAATACAATACTTTTTTACGAATATAGACAAGATGAAAACCACATTAGGTACACGAAGATGTTACCATGAACAGAATAAATAAGGTAGGATTACACGTACTTATAGCTTATATTTTAAGTATAATGGTGATTTACACAGATCTTGTTATTTTTCAACATTCTATTTTATAAAAGAAAATACAAATAAATGAGTCCCTGATGTTTATGTACTAACTCTCCACTGACTATACTGGCCTGCTTCACTATAAATATTATTCGTATTATTCCATGTATTTTGTTTATAATACAATCATGTATATGATAAAGGCATTTAAAATAAAATCACGATAGTTTGTAGTTGACCCATTTCTGACGAAAACAGCCAAACAAGAAGGAAACAGAAGTGATGATGATTTCATTCCTATGTGCCATGTTTGCTAAGGTATATATTAAACGACTAATATTATGGTACCCATCATTTTCTTCTTAATACTGCACATATATCTATTTACTATACTTATATCTTGATTTCCTTTTAATATAATTAAATTTGTTTTCATATATACGCCTACTTTACTTTAGCTATCAAGCAACTGTATAAATTATAAAGACTATTCTTCATTGCAGGACTGTGAAAAAGAATTTGTAATGATCAAAGAAGAAAACAACCAGTTAATAAATTCCTCTGAGGTAGGAAAACAAAGCAACAACTGAAAGGGTGCAACAAGACTGTTACCTGAAGCTATTTCTTTGATTGATTAGAAATCATTTACAAACAGTGAAATTGATTTGCTTGAAAATACTAGTATATAAATATCCATGTAAGCTAGGTATATACAGGTGTATATGATTTCTTTAAATTTTTTACTATGTTTATATACAAATCTTATGTTTTTTATTAAGATGATCGGTTTATACGTTTGTGTATATTTGATGCTTGAAATAACCATATTTATGAAACAGAAATTTTATAATAAAAAGTTCAAACATTAGTTGTATAATTGTTATATTTTGTAGATCTGTAGGGCATTGATGCGTGATAATCAAAATGATTTAACGCGCATCGTCATCATGATGTCCAATATCGTCAAAATGCCTAGAAATATAACTAATTGAAAGTCATTTTGATATGAAATGATAATCATTTTGAATATCGGAATCTATCATTATGACAAGAATACAGTCAAATGAAATCCTTATAGTGTACTCATGGTGACTTTCAATTAGTCGAGGTAGACTATCGATTCAGTCAGTATGATTTTTCTCGAGTCGTCAAAATGAGCTTAACATATTGTCTAATTGACTAACTGCACCCTCATCTGGAGGACAATCAATCTGATTATTTTTTTAGGTCATGATGACTAACTTAAATTTTCAGTGAAACAGTATACAATCAATCAATCAATTCTAATTTCAAATTTATTACAACACATATAAAGTACATCTTTTACTGCATACATTCAGTAACGCTTTACAGAACAGTTCAAACCTCCATCCTTTACCGAAAACATATTTGTTTTCATGTTTGTGTTAAATATTTTTTTAAAAAGAACGCAGCGATGGAAATAAATTTAAAATCGTCTCTTGGGGGTTTAAATAATCCATGGATGATCTTTCGTCTGTTAAAAAAAGATAAATTAATACTTCACAGATAAATGTATAAAAGCATATTTTTTCTATCAAAAAAAATTTAACTGAAATTTTCACAGTTATATAAAAACAAAAAAATCTGATTATTAAGATTTATTGATTTATTCAATGAGGTTTACCTAGTGACGTCTGACCATCATGGTTGTCCCGTTCACTGATGTCCCGTGCGTTACTGTGGGAGACCATGGAGCGGACCACCTTGCCGGGGACCAGCGACCGTTAAGGAAAGCCCAGTGACAGGCGTTAAACCACCAGCCTCCTCTACGGTCATGGGTAGCAGCACAGTTAACACTATTATTGTCATTGTCTCTGTCCGGGGTGGAAAAATACATCCCAGACAGATCTTGGCAGCTTCTCATGCTGTCTCCTGAAATACAATATAACAATATAAAAAGACACAACAGTCATCTCCAGTCGTTTTCTCTGTCCTGGGTGGAGAAGTAAGACCGCGGAACATTAGCTGGCAAAATTGGAGATACACAGCTTACGTCATTTCTATCTGTTACAATCAAAACATTCAGTGATAGACAATGAAATGGGCGGGTACAATTCGACGTAGGGAAAACATCGGATTGAAATTGCAGATCCAAATTCATTGTCAATCACTTTATAATGTGTCAATACAGAAAAGAATAATTAGGAAGAAATATAAACCTAATTTAAACCTAATTTTAAGAACTAAACATAATACACTTACCTAAGGTCCCCGTGGCAGGTCCTGTAAGAAGGAGTTGATATTTTCCTGCTTCGTCGGAGACAGAGAATCCGTCGTACATTTCATACAATATTGTACCATTCTGGAGAGTGATGGACACATAAAGGGATTAGGTGTTGTCTTTTGTTAATTTATGGATTACGTCATTTCCTGTATTAAGATATATTTGAAATCATCTGTGAAGTTCATCGAATATAATTATTCTTTTAAAAATATGAATCTACCGTAATGAAAAAAATTCGATCAAATCAAATTATTTTTCAAAGCTGTAGAGAATATTGCTACATTTGGTCTCATTAGAATATGCCGCTAGATGATAGTCTTCTTTTCTACTTTTGTAAAAATTATTTGAGATATCAATTTAACGATAACTGAAAATCGTAGAACACATATTAACTAATCTTAAATTTAGATCTTTATTATGCTTTATAATTTTTCACCTGCCACAAAAATTTTTTGTTATCTTCAAACTTTGAAGGAATAAAAAGTTCTTATTTAAAAGCGATCTAAACTTACCAATCCAGACATTCTGTTCTGGTGAACCAAAACCATTTTTATAATCTGCCCAGTTTCTGTCAAAACTCACGGATCCGTCTACTCGTTTCTGAATGACCTTTAAAAATTAACATGCAACACAATCCAAAACAAAAAGGGAAAATCAAAATTCCTTTTTTTTCACCCAACGTTTACAATCTGAAGTCATTTTGGTCTTAAAATCCTTATATCTGTCTCCACAAGTTCCCTTTTTGAAGATTTTTTTTAAGTATTTGAGGAACGTTCCTCTTTCTACACTTCAGATGCATTTGTTATGACCAGACTTTTGAGGAACGTTCCTCTTTCTACACTTCAGATGCATTTGTTATGACCAGAGATTTGAGGAACGTTCCTCTCTCTGAACTTCAGATGCATTTGTTATGACCAGACTTTTGAGGAACGTTCCTCTTTCTACACTTCAGATGCATTTGTTATGACCAGAGATTTGAGGAACGTTCCTCTCTCTGAACTTCTGGTGCATTTGTTATGACCAAACTTTTGAGGAACGTTCCTCTCTCGAACTTCAGATGCATTTGTTCTGACCAGAGATTTGAGGAACGTTCCTCTCTCTGTACTTCTGATGCATTTGTTATGAACAGACATTTGAGGAACATTCCCCTCTCTAAACTAAGATGCATTTATTATCACCAGACATTTGAGTAACGTTCCTCTCTTACAGATGTGCACATACAGTTTGTATTTTTAAATACCTTATGAATGAACACATCAGGCATTTGAGGAACATTCATCTCTCAAATTTACTTATTACCGTAGGCATCTCATAAATTTTCAAATATTAGGCATTAGAGGAACGGTCCTCTTCCAATTTCAAATATTGATACTATATACACCATGTACACTGGAGGAACGTTCCTCTTCAAACTATTGACACTGGATTTACTAGTCTAAACACATATTTGAGGAACGTTCCTCATCCAATTTCAAATATTGATACTATATACACTGGAGGAACGTTCCTTTTTCAACTTGACACTGTATTTACAAGTTTTAACACACAATATCACAAACGTTCATCAGTCAATTTCAATTGATAATACATACTACATGTTTATAAACAGTACATTTGAGGAACATTCCTCTACCAATTCCTATCAAAACACTACTACCATGAATCTTAATACAATGAATGTTCGTCTCCCCATTTCAAAATTTGACACTGGACTGGACAAACATTCCTCTTCCAACTGTTGACAATGGATTCATGTCGAATACTCCTCTTCTGATTTCAAATGTTATTATATAACTTTATACATGAATCAGAGTATAATTGGATTTGAAGAAAGCTGTACATCCAGGTACTCCTAACGTAAAAGAGCAGATAATCCTGTTGATTTCATAAAGTCAAATTTCAAGGTTGAGAATATTCTGACACAGAAAAATAATGTCTGCTTAAAATTTTGGGAACCCTTTGCTTTACAGACATCAAACGTAGTATACTGGTACTCCCAAAGGAATAAAGACCCCTACTGATTTTGGGTTACAAGGTGAAAGCACAAGGCTCAAACTGATCTAGAAATAGAAAAGTATTGTTTACTCAATATTTAAGTAACTTGAGATTCTACTGTTTGAAAAATAATTTAATGCACTAGATCTGTAGAACTCCTAAGAAATATATGACAACTTTTAATTTGGGGGTCATAACTTGATCACAAGATCAAGTACGTGTCATTCTTGACAATTAATATTTTAGGAAATCATTTTTCACTCAATTTTGTGAAAAGCCTCTTATTATTACAGACATTAAACTCGTTGGTACCACTTCTTTAGGAGTATACATGATCACATTTTATTTTGAGGTCACTTCTCTGGATATCATATAGGAATGTATATCTCATGCTGAATAAAGAGTAAATGTTTATTTTTACTTTAAATGAGAAAAAAGGGCAACTGTTTGAATCGTGCAAGAGACATAAATCTACAACAAGGAATTGATCAAAAAAGTTATACCATTCCCCTGGTCCCCTGCATTTACTATTATGATATAAATCTGTTGTATAAAGCAATGCTTTCTTACACTAAAATAAACAATTTTCTTTAACAATTGAAATTTTATGATATTTATTAAATGAAAAAATCTTTCAGGAAAAGAATCTTACCCTTAGCTTTTTAGTATAGTTCATCCAAGATTAATTTATGAAAAGTCAGTGCATTGACCAGTAAATTCTCTATAAGTTGAACATCCATTGACATTTGAAAATCATGCATGTGTCTCTACTTACTTCATCACGCAGTTTTTTGACCAAAACTAATTATATAACTTTAATTATCACAGTATAACACAGTATAACACACAGATATATCAATGTCTAATTTCTCCAATTTCGAATTCCCCTTCAAACGACAGTTGCATTTAAATGATAGCTGTTCACATGTGCAACTGCGACCCTTCCATACATATTTGAATGGAAACATGTGGTGCCACTAACTGAAGAAATGTCAATCAAAACACTGCACACTGATAATCTTGGGTGTGTTATCAGTCTTGGACACATCCATCTCTCAACCCTACCAAAATGTTCACGATTTCAAATCAGAAGATGATTATCACATCGAAAGATTGTTGAATAAAACAGGATGTTGCAGTTCTTCACAGTTAAGGATTTATTAAGGTATATATGCAAATAATATTATTATCAATTTATGAAAATTCTTTGTATGCTTTGTTTGCATAAAAACTAAACTAAAATATCTTATCAATAACTTAGTCAGAGTTGATCAATCTATAAGCTGTCAGACACTTCCAAATACCAGTAAATTAAAATGAAAAATTTACTTTAATTTTAGACAAAATGATATGCCCTGGATTTCAATGTAAAAGAAAATGAATACCCTCATGACACCACTTGCAGCAACATTTCAGAGAAATGATTAAAGTGTCGTAAACAAATCAAGTAAGTACCGTAGTCATAATTTTCATTATTAGTTGGGGAAATTAGAAATTCTATGAATTCCTATATAATATATGTTTTCAAATGCTGTACATGGCAGGAAATAGATTAATTATATTGAATACAAGTAAAACATGTTTAAAAAGCAGTGCCAGGGATCGACGGATGATTTTGCATTATTATGAGCGAAATTCGTTATGAAGGTAAAAATACATAATTAAGTCACAGGGAATAAAAGCACTTCGCTGTAACTCAATTCAACATAAGTGTGTTGGCAAAAATCATGTTTTACTGTATTTTGTTAATTTTTTTTTTATTATTCATCATTTACTTATCTCAATTTATTTATTTATTTTTTGGGGGGTGGGAGTGGGGATGGGTGGGGTCCATGCCTATACTAATTGTTTTGGCTTCCTAACACAGGAAACTTTGATTGAGAATTTGCTCCTTAAAAAATTACCCCCCCCCTTGCCACTGAACGTATCCTATATACTTTCCAAAAATATGCAAAATATACATATTTATTTAGTGTTTTTAATTTGTATTACCGGGTATATTTTTAATTTGTAAACTGGCATGATTTAACATGTCCATGCATTAACTATACATTATTGATAAGAGACGAACACTCTATTTTGAATTAAAGTTTTGGACAGACCTCAGGTATATTTTATATGCCAAGTCAGTGTCTTATTTACTTTCTTTTAATAAAACATTAATTGATTTGATAAAGAGAACAATAGCTGTGTTTCACCTAGTTCAATCCAAAAATCATCCGTGCTTGACTAGATGCTCAGCACTGTTAATTCTGATGGTTTTAGAGCAGAGCAGAACACATTCAAAGAGGCTCAAAGGAATAATCTAGTGTGTCAAAGAATTAATGTGTTTAGATGAAACAGAGCCGTATAGTTTGTTTATGTATAGCCAATGCTGAAATCTTAAACTCGGAGACAATTATCGCTTCGTCGGCTTCACTAAGTGGTCACTGGTCAAATGTTTATTCTTTCCCAAGATATTGTTAGCTCTTTTACTTGTGTGTATGAACAGGAGTACTTAATATATTAAAATCATGTGTTTTTCTTTGCTAGCAATATAGTGACCTTGTCTGATATCATACCCTGCTAAAAAAACATGTTAAAATTTTACTATAAATTGGTTATCTTGAAATATTATGGAAAAAAAGACACAAATTCAATAAATTATTATACTTAATATTGTATCCTTTTAAACTATATGCTGCGGTTAGAATAATAAGGATAAAATTTAAAAAAAAAACTAATTATAAAAGATTTATACACTTTTTTGAAACAATTTACCGGGAAATTTTTTTCTATTTTTATAAAAATTCTAGGCATATTTTGTTGTGTTGTCAACTGCAAGGATTATGATCAAAGCTTAAGTACATGTATACAATTTAAAGAAACATATATAACAAAACCTTTATCTTAAAGGGTTTTTTTGTCATTCTATATATTAATCTTTTCTAAAAAAAAAAAAAAAAAATAAATAAATAATTTATTACAAACTCACATTTTATGTATTGCATTAATTGTTTTAATAGATTTTTAATATTAATCAAAGTGGAATGCAGTCCAAAATAGAGTGAATATGAAGTTTCTTTTAGTTGTCAATCATCACTATCCCACTGAAAAATATATTTTATTCTAAAAAAAATCCAAAGGGGGCATCTTGTTTATATTCCTACATACACCTTTTGTTAAGGATTAGTTTAATACTTTAACAATAACTTAAGTATATGCATTATCTAATTATAAATAAGTATTAATTCAGATCTTAAAAAATTGTATATTAGTTAAACATTTTATATGTATGATCGATCGGCAGATCATGTCTTGTGTACTCAGTGTCCGGTTCCTGATAAAAGAAAAATAGTATTACTAAAAATACGAGTAACGGTTTCACAAGTTGATACTTCCATCATTTTATGCATATATAGCCGTAATTTTGTTTTATTTATTTATTAGGTTAAAGCTGAGAAAAAATGCACTATTCAGTTTCATAAGAAAGGTTCATTTTTATAACACATGCCTGATATGTACACCAATGAAATTCTTATTCTTAGAAACTCAGTGTTCCAGTGTTGGTGAATGTAATTTCAAAGAGTTGAAGAAAATCTTCTTAAATTATTTCTACATAATGAAAGCAGATAAGACCGGGGTTATATAAATTGACCTCGAGTTTTACAGATAACATAGACTTTTGACCTTGCTGCAGCTGGCTCAATTATTAAATCCCAAAGATATAGGAAATCTGTGAAATTCAGAGTGCATGTTTCTGAAATTAACAATTAAATCAAAGATAGTTTCATAATCAAAGTATCTAACTTTGAAAAGGGGGAAGGAAGATGAGCAATTGCCAATCAATAAAAATAAAAAATTGTAGAACTGTATTACTCAGTACAAAATTTCTTTTAATACATGTGCTAATAATTTAATAAAATATTCTAAATCAATAAAACATTTTTTAAGCCTAGGGTTTTTTTTTTTGGAAATATGGATTCTTATTCCTGCTTCCTTAAGATCTGACAATTAAGTGCAGGAGATGTTGTTTTCACATTATTATTATTTTTTTTTTTTTTTACAAAATAATTCTGTGTAATGTTTCTTTGCATTTAATATGTACAAACCAGATTTTAGCCTGAGATTTGTTATTCCCGAACTAGAATAATTAGTAAAGTTTTACAGCGTATATAAATTTCATTACATTTTTTGTTCTTTAAATATATTGAAACTATCCAAATTTTAAGGAGTAAAATTTAAAACTCTAACAAGATCTTAATTCTCTCACTGTTTGAGTTCTGTTCTACAATGTAAATTGCTTCAATCTTCTGACTGCAGAGACATGTTTATCTATAACACGATCAAGTCATCATAGCATCAGCACTGATCTTTACTGTCCATGAAGTCACAGGGGACAGATAGTTGCCAGAGCTGATCGCCTATAGCTAGTGTTCCATGAGCATATATGATTGGCAGTGATTAATAACAATTACAATGTGAGCTGGGGCCAGGAAGACATCAAGTCTTTATCTTTAAAGTAGAGAATGATGCAGGAATTAGGGTTACTAGACAAATCCCTATTATAGAATCAATTCTTCAGTTTTAAGAAATACACAATAGTACTACAATATAATACAAATTTAGATTCAGAATGAAAATAGGTTCGTGTAAATTAAAGAATACATTAATAAAACCCATGAAATATTATATGACACCTACATGCACTATGGAAAAAGAGAAATAAATTTAAAAAATTGATGACTTATATTATCATACATGTATATAAAATGTTCATTGGAGGAGTATGGAGCTTAAGACCTATATATTATTATAATTTACATTTCCAATTGTCACTTAGTTTTTAAATTAGTGTTACATGCAAGATATAAAGGAGAATGATTTTTCTCAGACATAATTTGCAAGTCAGAGTTTTTACTGTAAACGTGTAACATTTGGCGGTGTATTCTTTTTAGCTTTTTGGCGGAAAGAAACATCCGCTAATTTAAGTACAACACTAAATGTCTTAAACATAAAACATTAAAATGTGCTAAATCATACCTACGCTAACTGATTAAAATATCAACTTCCGCCAAATATAGTACACTCTAAATATAAAACATTTACAGTATTTCATTAAAATAGTATGAGAAAGATAGAAAGTGTCAATTTTGCAATATTCTTAATACAAAATGGAAATGCTTTCATAATTCATGGGCAATTTAAAGTTCAAAATTTTAATTTAACTTTTGCAATTTTTTTTATATCGATTTTTCCAGTCTATTTAATTTTTAGATGATACATCAAAACTTGTTATTATGTACACATTGTTTCGATTATTCTAACTTTGCCTGAAACACATCTTTGATAATACAACATGCCGCTGTACTGAATGTGAGATTTTTCCTACAGAAGATGACACCCAAGAAACTTGTTGAGGCTGTTTTACTTTGACTGATGAAAAAATGCTATGAACCTTTGGAGACCAAGGAATTGGAATCGTCTCTATTATGAGGGAAAGATGTAACCGAGAAAGAAACATGGTTGACCTTCATCACAACTTTGGTTTAATTTCGTGGTAGAAAGGAAAAATACTGTGGGTATTAACCTGTTAACCAAGACATTGTAATATGTGATCACAATGCCATTCAGTGAAAAAGCCCTTTGAGTTGATACATGAACACCGCACATTGCACATGCTTGTTCCGAAGTGGAAAAATTTGTTTGTTCCTGTACCTAGTTTATATTATGCTTAAAGAAAGCCTTAATTCAAAAAGTACTTTATAAAATGACAAAATGATTTTTCATATATATTTTGTAGAGTGTGTACAGATAAAAAATGTTTCTATGAATATGTACTGCATTTCATATAAAAGAGAGAAATGTTTCCCAAATTCTTCATGTACGATAAAAACTAATATAATATCACAAAACACATGATAATGTTAGAGAGGAACGTTCCTTTAAAGATATTTTTAAGTGGGCTTTGCAATGTATCAACAGATATTCATTACAAGACAGAGGAACGTTCCTCAAATGCACGGGTTGCAAGCTTCATGAGGTATAAGTAATCAACAGAAATACAACCATTTGTGAGAGGAACGTTCCTCAAATGCCTGATTTAATATGAATAAGGTTTCAACATATACAAATCTGAGAGAGGAACGTTTCTCATATGTGTAAGTATCCTGTGTGAACAATGTTAAATTTTAGTGAGGAACGTTCCTGAAATGCCTAATGTTTTACAATTCATGAGACAACCATTTGTGAGAGGAACGTTCCTCAAATGCCTGATATTTGACAATCCTTGAGATGCCTACAGTAATAATTAAATTCGAGCGAGGAACGTTCCTCAAATGCCTGATGTTTGACCATTCATGAGATGTCTTCAGAAAAAGTGAATTTGAGAGAGGAACGTTCCTAAAATGTCTCATGTGTTAAGATTCTTAAAGTATTTAAAAATACACGCTGTATGTGCACATGTAAGAGAGGAACGTTACTCAAATGTCTAGTGATAATAAATTCATCTTAGTTTAGAGAGAGGAATGTTCCTCAAATGTCTGGTCATAACAAATGCATCTGAAGTTCAGAGAGAGGAACGTTCCTCAAATGTCTGGTCATAACAAATGTATCTGAAGTTAAGAGAGAGGAACGTTCCTCAAATGTCTGGTCATACTAAATGAATCTGAAGTTCAGAGAGAGAGAGAGAGAGAGAGAGAGAGAGAGAGGAACGTTCCTCAAATGCTTGGTTATAAGAAATGCACCAGAAGTGTAGAAAGAGGAACGTTCCTCAAAAGTCTGGTCATAACAAATGCATCTGAAGTGTATAAAGAGGAACGTTCCTCAAATACTTAAGAAAAATCTTCAAAAAAGGAACTTGTGGAGACACAAATAAGGATTTTAAGACCAAAATGACTTCAGATTGTAAACGTTGGGTGAAAAAAAAGGGAATTTTGATTTTCCCTTTTTGTTTTGGATTGTGTTATGCATAACAATTCAATTTATTGCTTCGAACATTAATAGGATCCATATGTTTTGATATAAACTACAATACAATCCTACAATCCTTAAAACAACAAAAACAAGATGTGTTATATTAAGTGCTTGTATTTCTAAAATAAATAACATACCGTCCATCCACCGTCCATTGTGGTCATATCGCAGTAGACACTTATTGGAATGGTTAATGTATTGTAGGGGTATATATCATACACCCCTGTGATGGTTTGTCCCTCTTCACAAAGTTCGTTACAATCTTTGGGTATGGCTGAAAAAACACAATCTATAAAAATGTCGGGATCATATTATGCGTATGTGAGAGTGAGACGTGAGAGGATATATAATGCCTGCGTGATATATAAATGTTAATTGTTGAAACTAAACATACAATGCAGTTTATGATAAACTGTTCCTCATTATCTAAGTTCATTCTTGTTTTCTATTTGATACAAATCTTTGATTAAGGGCATGATTAAAAGTATTTTAAAATTAAATACAATTATTTTCAATACTCTGATTTTGAAAGAAATGTAAAAGAGGAATACATTTGTAGATAAGACGATAAATAATTTAGACACTGAAACAGATGTTGAAAATGTAGTAAAATTATGATATCCTTTTTATGCATGATACAATACAGTGAAATTGAACATTTTGTAGATTCTTAGGTGATACAATGACCATGTTTTCCAACTCTGTCTATCGTATCAAACGTGATAAAAAAAATCGTGTCCTCTCGAGAAGGACCTAAAAAATCCAAAGAAGCTAAGAGAATGTAAAAAAAAAAAAAAAAAAAAAAAAAAAAAAGATATACTTACCGTTAACCGAGTAGTATCTCCAACCGGCCTCATCAGACAGCCCAGACGTTAATCTTTTCTTGTGGGTACGACATTTCTTGATTCCAGGGTTAAAACCAAATAAGACGCACTCTCTTTGACACATCGCGGCACACTCGGTCACAGAATGAGAATTCTGTTCTCCTAAGAGCTCGTAGTTTGATATTTTATCACTCAACGACAGTTTTGCTGTGTATTTCTGAGAAATAATGGTCGCTTTCGATGGTTTACTCACTTTTGAATTTATTTCTTATCACAGTACCGAGCAATTCTTAGAGGGACGAAAATAATAAGAGAACTCTTTACGGATCATACTTAGCGTGTTAATGTAAAATAATACCTTGGTTTTATTAACATGAGACCCAAAAATGTGAACAGCTAAGATTGCACCTACCGGTTAATTTTTTCTGCTGTAAATTATTACGAAATTTGGTTAAAATAAAATGAGATGATTTAATTTTTTCCGAGTTAATTTTTTACGAATGATCATTTCCGTAAAAATTAAAATCATTGGAGGTGAAATTCCAGATCAACCCTTTAGCATTTTGAATGGTTAACATACAAATACATGTTTCCCATGTGTCTGGACAACCCGATGTAAAATAAAGACGAAATTGTTCCCGTGAAAACCAGTGACGATTCATTAAATTACGATATGTATATTCATCTAAATACCTTTATATATCACATGCCCTGAATTTATTCCTTTTTCAATACTAGATATCGCGATTACTCAACTTTGCGGGGCTCTTTCGCGATGGAGGTAGGAAACGTCTGTTGGATGGGGACAAACGTGCTATTGAATACAAAGCAAGATCGGTCATTGTAGAGTTTATAAGAACAGATTAAGTAAAAAAAATCCTGGTGGAATACCTTGCTTAGAAATCACTGAGTCAGTCCTATTAATTTTTAAGACGAGCATATTCTCAAATGTTACGTTTTTAACGATATTTTGAACAAAGCAGTCTCTTCTCATTAAATTTTCATTGAAAATCTTCACATTCCGAGAGTTGATAAAATATTATAAACTTTCCTTATGTGACAATGTACCATGTGGAGGCAATTCGTAGCAAAACATTATACTTTTGGCATTTAATTGTTTGAATCATTTGATTGTAACTACTGTAAATCTAGAGTTTCTCGACTTCCCCGCAAAAGAGCGCTAGTAAGTTAGATCACTGCGAATTTCTCGCGATATTACGTATTAATACAAATGTCGTCGCATCATTATTGTTGTGCATCACGTGCCTGTCTTCATTTTAATGAAAACAAAGAGAGACAACTCAAATGATTATGATTAAGTTGGCAGAATAACAGCGGACACGGATTTTTCAATGCATTATACCTGGTAATGTCGAAGTTTTCACTGAAAGCAAATAAAAATGAAAAGGAAGAAGGGGTCAACGTCTTGAAAAACGGATATAATTTGAAAACTTCAGTCTGTAAAAATTAAGTCATTATCAAAAATTATATATGTTATACGTCCCGTCAAAGGAAGCAGGTAATTGACGATGTTTGTATAATTTGTGTATTAATTAAGATTTACTTGTTTTATCCTAATTCATGATCAATTAAAACCATAAGTTGCAATACCAATGGTTGTCAGTACTAATTCTATACCCTCCAATTTGTTAGCTTAATGACAGTGATAGCACCAAAGTACATGTACTCTATACTATAAAAAAATATAATACGATGTTCAAAATCTAGGCGATGCATTTTTTAATTCTGTGAAATTTTACGCTTTTAGATTAAACAGATTTATAAAACTCGTAAAAATTAGTAAAAATTAGCAGCATGTAAAAAATACCCGTTATACAGTAAATCTCAGACACATTATTTCATCTTTAAAAGTCAGACGCATTATTCTTTGAGTTTGTATAAATAATGATTAAACTGCACATAGAAACAAACATACTTTGTACAAATGCTTTGTACAAATTACAGGACATATTTGGCACATATTGGAAGCATGATGTCATTCTGAGAACTAGTTTATCATAAGAAAATATGGAGGATTACGTATTCCAATTCTACGGTCAATCCTGCATTGAACTCCTTTTCATGATCGGAGCAAACAGAAAAAAAAAACACAGACTATTCAAAGTGAGAAAATGGCCAATCAATTTGTATAAAAATGTCAGTTAACATATGAATTTAGAATGAAATCATTTTCTTGACAACGTTATCGTATCAATAAAAAAGGACAAGATAGGGTAACAGCCCCTTATTTTATATAAAAAATCAGATCACTGGTAAAATTGTGACAGTTTGTAGTTAAGAAGTTAAAATGATGCTTACTTTAAGACAAGCACTAATTTGGATTCAAAGCTTACATGGAAGCCACTAGAGGGTGCAGAAATATGACGTTTTCCCAAATTTCCTCAATTCTGATGAAATTTCATCATATTTGGGATACATTTCTTTTCGAAAAACATAGAGCACAAACTTGCCTATCTGAGATTTTTACACATAAACTGCATCTGATATCAGTGTATAAAATATATAAATTTGGTAGATAGGCAAGCGTGTGCTCTATGTTTTCCGAAAGAACATATGCTGTAAAATTAATGAAAATTTGCATAAAAAGGAGAAATTTCGAAAATTGGCCTATTTCCTGACCTTACTGTGACCTCTGTATATACTTAATCTTAAAACCAACACTCATTTTGTGGCAGGGGTGACAACAGGTTTTTATGGATAAACATTTGGATCATTCTGAAATACACCCAAAACCGGGGGCCAAATACTGGTCTTACCCTATCTTGTCCTTTATACAATCTTCAGTTAAAGCGAGCTATTGAACTCATTGATCTAATAACATATTTCCACTCCCTAACACTTATCCGAACTCTTAAGAGCTGGACTCTTGGCAGTGGATCTTAAGTAAAAAAAAAATGTCTATTAAATATTAAACGTTATGGAACTGTCATCATAAATGCAATGAAACATATGAAGCTAACGAAAAGTATTCAAGATCAAGTCCATTAACAATACAAAATAGGAGCAGGGCAAACACGAACCTCTGAAACATCAGAGGTGGGATAAAATGCCATAGACGAGTGAGCATCCCCTGCCGACCGATCACAACCGCAGTGTGCTCCTCGTTATGATATGGAAATAATGGAAAAATCCGTCGTCAATTTAGTGCATAAATAATGGACTAACGAATAATATGAAAAGCGTCAGTCAGGAAATCGATTATCAAATAAAATCCCTAATCCATCTGAGCTGGGTTCGGGTGTCCTGGATAAGAAAGTCTTCCTGTTGAGAGTATCATACGCCTTTTCTTCCTTATGATTATCGAACTTAAGAAAGAAAATCAGTGAATAAATAATGATCTAACAGGTAATGTGGGAAACGATATTCGGTACTCCACTGAATGCTAGATTTACGGAAATTTGTATGAATTGTATGAATACCCAGTGTTAATATATATAACCTTTTTTTTTATCAATGTATCATATATGTGTTTTAAACAGCGTGGTATGTTGATGTGATCTTTTTTTTCAATCAAAATGATTTGCTCTGATCCTATTTCTTACAGTTTTTATGACTGTTGTGCTTCAATACTAGTACTCTTCGTTATGTCCATGTAATTCATTTAAGCCATTCTCGTTTCTGCTTGTGCTCTTAGTTTTTTGACTTTTTTCATTAAGCTGAATATTTGTCTTATCAAACAGAATACAGAAAACAATCATCTTCGACATCTTTTGATATTTTTCATCAAATTAACACAACAAACAATTATTTGAAGATACCCTCCGGTGAAATAGGCAAAAGGAATGGACAAATGGCGTGTTCTCCTTTCATAAACATACAATTTCGTGATTGCAAGCAAATTTAGCTTCCTGTTCTGATGTCAAAATGCTATAACTCAAGACCCTATGTCAATTTTCAGGTTCTGTCTTTTGTTTCATTATTTTTTTAATCGAAACTTGACTATATTCCTTTCTTTAATATCATTGAAATTACAACATTGCTTCTAATTAAGTATTTTAACAACTTTATGAATGAATTCCATTTAATTAAATATATATATTTAGATTGCCGAGTAGAGAGTG